GGGACTCTGGTGCCAACCATAAGTAAGTAGCACGTACTAGTATATGAAAGTAATGAAAAGCCTACAAACGTCTGTGTCCGATTTCAACACACATGCTCATTCAGTCCCATGTGACCTCATGCAAGGTAAAAAAGAATACCAAACAAACCAAAAAAGAAAAAAGAAAGAAAAACCTTCTTTAACTAAAAGGAAAAATCTTAGGTGTATAGATGTTTAAAACTTGTAACTGCAGTACATATCCCCAGAGACATCTTACCTGTTAGGCTGCCCTGGAATATATATAAGGTAGTAGACATCACAGACAGGAGGAGGCAGAGGCACCAGTCCTTGAAAAAGTCCATGGAGTGCTGAAACCAACCAGCAGGCAAGAACACCCACTCAATGACACCCATAACAAGAGGGAAACCTTAACTGCTCTGCTTGCCAGGATCCCACAATTACACATAAATACTGGACTGCACCTTAATGATTCCAATTTAAAAAACTGCAATTATTTTCACTCATGGGATTGGTTTATAAATTTTAGAAAAGAAAAATTTGAAAATTTATATAATATTCATTTTGCAAACTCAACTATTAAAACTGTGAAACCAAATATAATTGTGTACTTGATTTTGCATCACCCAGAATTATAAGGCTCAGTTCCCTCAGTCAGGGCAGTCAAATCTTCCTTTATTAAGCCAACAAACACAGAGTATTTAATTCTGTGATGTATCCCTGTAAGTTTAAAAAGGATGGCTAGGAGATAGCTCAAGGGTAGAGCACCTGTCTAGCACATATGAGGTCCTGGGATCAATTCCCAGCACCACAAAAAAATAAAGAAAAAAGGAAAGCAAATTATATAAATAATGGTGGTTTAATTTTTTAAAATGTGTCTAGTAGTTTCTTTCATTATTATTTATGACTAACAAGAGCTTTGTCTTCTCAATGTTTTAAATTATCTACTACAGGAGTTGCTCATTATCTCTTATGAGATAGTTTATGTGTATTTTCAGCATTAACATCTCAAAGTAACCATAAGAGAAATTAAAACTTAAGGCCAAGCAAATTGATATTAAAATCTATAATCCAAGTCTTAGGCCAATATTCAACTTGCATAAAACATCCTTTTCAAAAAAGGGAATGATTTCAACAGACTGCCTTTTTATAACACAAAATAATTAGTTGTCACACTATCATCAGCAATCTGTTTAAATTCTAGTAGTTGTTAGTCTAATATAAAATAGTTATATGTAATTTCCATTGAAATTAAAATTAGTTCAGCTTGATAAAATGAAGCACTAAGCTACATCAACTTAATAACCAGGTTCTTTACTGAGATAGTTTTAGCAGAGGCAAACATTAATATCCCTATAGGACAGCTTGGCTTATCAGTTATTTGCAATAAAACTAACTGCATTGCCAAATAGCATTTACTAAGCATAGGGGCATCCAAAAAATGATACTAATAACAGTAAATGCTATTTAATACTTAGTGTCAGGTACTCTAACAACTGGCAACAACCCCATCATGTAATAACTATTACTATTTCTATATCACACATGGGGAAATTAAGGTGAAGAGTGTTAGGTAAGTTAAGTAAGATCACATACTTATGAATAAGAAAGGCTGACATCTCAATCCAGAAAGTGTAGCTCCAAAAATAATAGAGAATAAAACGTGAACAAGTATATGTAAGGACAATCCAACTCACTAATAGATACAGATAACAAATAATCTCATTATTATAAACATTATATAACTGACTCCTCAGGGAGAAAAAAATCTACATCCTGTTTGTTGAGTATATAATAGTGAAAAATAGAACTTGAGGATCTTTAGTTTATGAGTGAAAGCTGGATAGAAACACTAAAATTTTAAAAACAGTAACAAACTAGAAAATGGGTAATAGAAATGTGTGAATTAAGTATTCTTTAAATTAGCAATAAAATGATCAGATAAAAAGAAAATACTAATTTTTCTCAGTGGATTCAAAGTGAAATTAAAGAGATGAAAATAAGCAATATTATTCCAGGTTATGCTTGTTAATGGCTTCAAAGGAGAAGGAGAGACTTCTCTTGACATCAGCATTAAAGCAAGTGAAGAACTTAATAGGATGGTAACAAATGCAACCAAAAATAGCAGAAGAGAACATGACCTGAACTGCAAGCAAACAAGAATATCATAATTCAAAGAATTCACATCCATCCATGAAGTGAGATTGAAGGTGGATAGGAATTCAACAAGATTTGAAATGTTAGTCTTCACTGTCATACAAGTCTACAATATAAAGTAAAGGGGTAAGCCCAGGAAAAGTATGAAGGCATCATTTACCTGAACAGAAAATAATCAAGACTTAAGGTCCATTAGATGGGGACTTGGATGCACTTGCTATATAGAATTAACCTATGAAGAAGATGGCAACTTAGGTAACCCGGTTCAAACTTTCTTCCAAATTTTGCATAAAAACGATAGCAAGGAAAGGACAGTAAGACAATGGAAAGTCTAACTTAATGGCAGAAATCATTTAAAAGCCACCAAAACATTTAAAAATAAAAATATGGCTAGAGTTAATTTTGAGACTCCTAAGTCAGGAAAGACTTGTTATGGTAGTACTCAAAATTTTAAATTGCCCTTACAGACTCTGAAATAAGAACAGAATGAAAATGTAAACCTATGAAGATATGTTAATCTATTTATGAACCTTGTGGCATGATTCAAAAGTTATTACTAGTGATGAGCCCATTGTGGATCTTTAAAAAAAAAAAAAAAAAAAAAAGCTGAAATTTTGGGATTTGGAGTACAGCTCATTGGTAGAGGAAGTGCCCAGCATGCATAAGGCCCTGAATTCAATCCCCAGAACAGAAACAAAAACAAACAACTCCCCCCACCAAAATTCCTTAGAATACAGTTCAGAAATCAGACTACTACAGAAAGAGATATAATTACTTATTTTTATTTTATTTATTTTACTTTTTGGGTATAAACAGAAAATGTTCCATGGCTAAATAAACTAAAATCTAACTAAACCAGAAGGGAAACAATTTCAAATAGTAGACTTGAGACACAAATAGCAGCAGCTTTTATGAGACGGGTGGAGCTGAATCACACCCTAGTGTTGAATTACTAGTACTCTATCTGCTTGAGCTGGTTATGATTCCCCAGAGTAACAATTCAATATTCATATTTGCAGCTTGATGCCTGTACTAGAAAAATGTTCACAACAAGGCTGGAAGCAATGCATAATTCTAGGGGACATCATCCATATTATAGTCTCTGTGGGTGGTGTCCCCTGCAGTTGTACAGACAATTTGTGCACCCTGACTTAGCCACATTGATTCCAACAGTTTATTGTGCATGACCAAGGTCTTGCAGGTTTGTATGATAAACACACATTCTTATACATTGCTTCTTTGTCATCACTTTCTTAGTTTAAAATGGTCTAAGATGCCAAAGAATATTCTGATCCAAATAGTTTTTATTAGAATATAATATGATCATTTTCATACAATCCTTTGTCAGTTAATTTTCTTCTTTATTAACTGAGTAGAATGAGCTCATAACAACAGTGCCAAACAACATCTGATGACTAATGACAGATACTCCGAAGCCCCCAAAATGTGATCACTGCCACAAAGAAGCTAAAATTCTCACCCTGTTTCTGACTCAAGGTAAAAAGTCTAGCATACTGATGACAGCAAAGTTGAGTAATCTGGCATTTACAGAGTGACTCTGGGTGAACTCAGGAAGAGATTAAGGAATTATTCCCAATATTTAAAGAAAATTCACACTCATTCCCAAAATGTTTTTAAAAGATTGAGTAGAGCCAGGACGTGGAGTCATTTAGTCCATCTCTTATTGTATGTCAGCATTTCCTAAAAATTTTTCTGTGGACTATTAAGAGGGTTTCATTGTTGGTAAGTTTGAAATGCCACAACCACCCAACCGGGAATATCACCACACACATTAGCCTATTAAGTCTCTAAGAAGTCCTGTAGTTAAGGAATTGGTTTTGTTAACCCATAGTTTCCCATACTTATTTGATCACAGAACCAGTTTTTGTTTGTTTTGTGGAACATCAGCAATAGGACAAACAGTTTGGCAAAGGTTACTCAAAGATTATTGTGTATATAAATTATTTCTTAAGAATTAAAATGTAACAGCATCCAAAACTAAATAAGATCTCTTTGGTGATTGCAAAATACTAAAGAAAGTTGCAGTGCCTCAGATAAATTTTTTGGTACTAGGGATTGAATCCAGGGGTTTGCACATGCTAGGCAAGTGCTCTACCACTGAGCTACATCCCCAGCTCCTTTTAATAAGTTATTTTCAGGCAAGGTCTCCTTAAGCTGCTGAGGCTATCCCTGAACTTATAATCCTCCTGCTTCAGCCTCCTGAGAAGTTGGAATTATAGGCATGTGCTACCATGCCCAACAAATGTTGGTTGATAGCTTTATTTGATAAAATGACAACCAAAATAAAATTTACTGTATATTTAGTAATGAAAGAAAGACAAAAGCCTGTTTTATAGTACTCATGTCACTTAGCACACACTTCTCATATTGATAAAAAAATATAGCAATATTTGAGACTGACAGCATTTGAAGTACTCGGTAAGAACATACCACAACTGTGCTTATTTTAAAACCCATTTATCAGACAACATCTAAAACTCCCTGACTTCAAGAACTCATAATTTTAGCAATAATCTTTCCTTATATTATTAATTATGATTATCTACTCATACCAAAACAATGGCACCTACTGAAGATCATTACAATACTTACCACATTACAAAAAGAATCCAGACCAATGCTATGTACATACTCTAGTACATTCTGGTTTAGACCAAGTAAAATTTAACAACAAGCTGAACAGCATTCTATAAAACAAAAACAAAAAGTCGGTTAGGCTAATTCTGTCTTTCTATGCTATGGACTCAGTGAGAAAGAAGATAGTCTTGGAACTTGATAACTGAATCAAACCTGAACTCTTTTATCTAAAATTTATCTACACTTACCTTAAGAGAAGTTCTTTGGGCAACTTTTTGTTAATAAGGCCTTCATCACTATTTGAGAAAACCTGAAACAAAAAATAAAAATTATGAAATTCTTCCTCTATCAACATCAACAAAAAAATTACATGTTTTTCATACTGGATCAGAACAGCCTCAATCACTGTCCTACAAATAAGATGATACTAATTTCATGAAACCTATCACCCTTTCACAAAAACAGCAACACTCAGATATTTCTGTACTACATTGTACTGGAGGTTCTAGCCAAGGCAATTAGATAAGAAAAAGAAATAAAAACCATCCAGATTGGAAAGCAAGACATAAAACAACTTTTATTTGTAGATGATATGATCTTATATATAGAAAATTCTAAAAATCCACAAAATCAATTATAACTTATCAAGGAGTTCAGTAAGGTGACAGAATATACAAATTTATGTTATTAAAAAACAACCTAAAAATGAATTAAATAGGGCAATCCAATTTATAACAGGATCTAAATAAATAAAATACTTAGGAATAAGTTCAAAAGTACAAGTCTTCCATATTGAAAACTTATATAAAACATTCAGAAAAATTAAAGATATACATTGAAAAATATCCACATTTATGAACTGGAAGACTTGATAGTGTTATATACTACAACACCACTTCCCAAACTGATTCATAGATTATATGCAATCCCTATCAATCCTAACTGCCTTTTTTACTGAAAATGACAACTTGATCCTAAAAGTTCACATGGAAATGCAAGAGACCCAAAATAGATTTAAAAAAAAAAAAAAAAAGATCCTGAAAAGAAAAATAAAGATGGAGGACTCAAACTTTCTGATTTCAAATTTTGCTACAGAGCTGCACTGTGTAGTGATTTATACCTATAATCATGGCTATTTGAGAGGCTAAGGCAACAGGATCACTTGTGCCTAGGAATTTGAGACCAGCCTGGGAAACATAGCAAGACTCCATCTCAAAACAACAAAATTTAATTTTAAAATTTTATTTTATTTTTTTACTACAAAGCTACAGCAAGGAACTGAGACTCTGTAGTACTGGCATAAGGATCAATACATCAACTGAATAAAGAGTCTAAAAATAAACTCCTACATTTGTGGGAAATTAATTTAAATGGTGAATAGAATAGTCTTTTTAAGAAATGGTGCCAAGCCAACTAGATACCCACATGCAAAACAATGAAGTTGGACTCCTTCCTGAATCACACACACACACAAAAAATTAACTCAATATGCATCAGAGGCCTTAATAAATAGAGCTAAAACTCTAATCCTTAGGAGAAAACACTGGCATAAAACTTTGAGTTGCTAGATTATGCAAAGCTTTCATAAATGTTATCATACCCAAAGGACATAATCTGAAGATAGATTGTTGGACATCAAAATTTAAAACCTTTGTTCTTCAAAGGGTATCAAGGTAGCAAAAAGAGCACAGAAAGTGAAAAGAAATCACACAAAATAGGAAAAAAAATCGCTGATCATATGTATGATAAGGTATCTATACCTAGAATATTTAAAGAACTCCTATACCTCAACAATAAAAAGACAACCCAATTGAAAGATGAGCAAAGATTCCAAATCAACAATTCTGCAAAGAAGGTATCTAAATGGTCAATACTCACAGAAGATGTTCAGTATCATTCATCATTAGGCAAGTGTAAGTCAAAGCCACAACAAGATACTTCACATCCATGTGAATAAATAAAATTAAACAGACAGATACTAAGTAATGGCAAGATGTGGAGAAACACCAGCCCTCATACACTGCCGATGAGAATGTAAAATGATGTCGCCTTTGGAAAACAATCTGAGAGCTCCACAGAGGTTAAGGATTGTGACTGTAGCTCAGTGGTAGAGCACTTGCCTAGCATGTATGAGGTCCTATGTGGTGGTAGTGGTAGTGGTGGGAAGAGAAGGAGAAGAGAGAGGAAAGGAGCGAAGGAGTAGAAGAGGGAAGGGAAGAAGGAAGAAAGAAGAGATTAAACACTGTATTGCTGTAAGACCCAGTTATCAGTTATTCTATTTGCAAATAACACTTGAACTTGTATGAGTAGGACAGTATCATTCATAATAGCCAAAAAGTAAAACAACCCAAACATCCATCAGCTGATGAATGTGTAAACAAAATGTGATAACCATACAACAGGATACTATTCAGCAATAAAATGAAATATTTATACATGTTAGGATAGGAATGAGTCTTGAAGACACTATGTTACTAAAAGACACAAAGGTGACATATTATATGATTCCACTTACACTGAAAGTCTAAAAAAGGTATATCCAGGGAGGCAAAAAGTGTAGTAGTAATTGCTTAGGACTGTGCAGTGAATACTAATGAATGGGTTGGCGTTATGAAAATGTTCTTGAATTAGACAGTTTTGATAGTCATACAATTTGTCAAATATACTAAAACTAATTTTTATATTTTAATTATGTGAAACTTATGGTATATGAGCAATATCTGCTATTTTTAATGGAAAAAATACACATTTCACCAAACTGCAGAAATGGAAATAGTGTTGTAAGTGGAACCCTATATTTGTTTTCCAATTTTTTTATTAGTTGTCCATGGACCTTTATGTATTTATATGCAGTGCTGAGAATCGAACCCAGTGCCTCATACATACTAGGCAAGCACTCTACCATGAGCTACAACCCCAGCCCCACTTATTTTCAAAGTAGTGTCACTGAGGACTCTTTATGGTGAGAGACTAGCATTTAATAAGTGCCTCCTGTATTCCAAGCTCTTGTAAGAACTGTTAGATGAACTAACTAAATTGTCTCAATTAATCTTTTCTAGGTCCTTGAAGTATAAAGTTATTGATTTGATGTCTTTCTTTCTTTCTTCTCTTTTAATGTAGGCATTCACAAGAATAAATTTCCCACTGAGCACTGCTTTCACAGAATCCCATGAGTTTGGACATGTTGTTTTTCATTTCCATTTCAAAGTATTTCCATTTTCTTTTTCTCACTGTTTCAGAGTAGTATTTAATTTCCAAATAAGCGGTGTTTTTCAGTTTTCCTTCTGCTTTTAATGTCTGGTTTCATTCTATCGTGGTTAATAAAGAGACTATATGTTTTCACACATTTATTGGCCATTTGTACTTCTCTTGAGAAGTGTCTATTCAGATCATCTGGTCATTCCCTGATTGGATTATCCATTTTTTAAAAAGAATGTTTTTTTAGTTGTAGATGGACACAATACCTTTATTTTGTTTTGTTTATTTTTATGTGGTGCCAAGGATCGAACCCAGTGTCTCATGCATGCTAGACAAGTGCTTTACCACTGAGCCATAGTCCCTGCCCAGATTATTCATTTTTTATATTGAGATTTTTAAATATTTTGGATATTAATCTTCTGTCAGTTGACTACCTAGCAAAGATCTTCTTGCATTCTGTAGGTTGTTTCTTCACTGGTGATTGTTTTCTTTGCTGTGCAGAAGCTTTTTAATTTCATGTAATTCTATTCATCATTTCTTGCTTTTATTTCCTGAATTATTGGTGACCTAACCAGGAAATTGTTGCCTATGACAATTTCTTAAAGTGTTTTCTTCTAGTGGTTTCAAAGTTTCAGGTCTTCGGGGCTGGGGATGTGGCTCAAGCGGTAGCGCGCTCGCCTGGCATGCGTGCGGCCCGGGTTCGATCCTCAGCACCACATACAAACAAAGATTCTGTGTCCGCCAAAAACTAAAAAAATAAAAAGTTTCAGGTCTTCCACTAGAGTCTTTGATCCACTTTTTAGTTGATTTTTATGTAAGCTGAGAGGGTTCGAGTTTCAATCTTCTATGAATGAATGTCCAGTTTTCTCAGCACCATTTGTTGAAGTGGTTGTTCTATTCCAATACATGTTTTTGGCACCTTTATTGAGAATCAGTTGGCTGAAGATGTATGATTTATTTCTGAGTCTTCTACACTGTTCCGTTGGTAAACATGCTTGTTTGTAGGCCAAAGCCATCCTGTTTTTGTCACAATGGCTCTGTAGTGTGTTTTAAAATCAAGTACTGGGATGTCTCCAGTATTGATCTTTTTGTTCAGTATTGCTTTGGCTATTCAGAAACTTTTGTTTTTCCATATAAATTTTAGGATCTCTTTTTAGTTCTATGAAGAATGTCACTGGTATTTTCACGGGAATTATACTGAATCTATCAACTACTTTGGGTAGTATGGCCATTTTAACAATATTAATTCTATGAACATGGGAATTCAGAAAGGGAACTTTTTAAAAGGTCCCTCTCATCCGCATATTTACTCTTCCTGGTACAAGTCATTATTTCCTTTAGATCTGAGGTTCCTTTATCATTACTTTGCTTCAACACAATTTCTTTAAGCATTTCTTATGATAAAAGCCTGGTATAGAAAACTGTCTTTGCTTTTGCCTATCAGAAAAAAAAATTTTTTTAGGACTGGGAATGAAACCCATTCCCATGCACATGCAAGGCAAGTGCCCTACCACTGAACTACATCTCCAGCCCTTATTTTGAGACAGGCTCTAAGTTGCCCAGGCTGGCCTCAAACTTGTGATCCTCCTGTCTTAGCTTCCTAAGTAGCAGGTATTTGCCACCACGCCCTGCTTCTCATTTGTTTTAAATATAGAATTCCAGGTTACATTTGCTTTTTAAAAGCACTACTTTAAAAAGTTATTCCATTGTCCTCTGCTATAGTTTGGCTGTTCAATGTTCCCCACAGATCCATGTGTTAAAGGCTTGATCCCCAGACTAGATTTTTTGGGAGGCAGGGTCTTTAAGAGATCCTTAGGATATACCCTCAAATGGGATTATGGGACTCCAGCTCATCATCTTTTTTTTTTTTTTTTTTTTCTTTTTACTTCCTGGCTGATGAGTGGAGTCATTTGCTCTAACACTTGCTCTCATCATGATGTACCATCCTTGTCAGAGGCCCAAAGTCATAAGGTCCCTCAATCTTGAACTAGAAACCCTAGAATCAGAAGCCAAAATGCCACAGGCACTTCATTATGGTGATAAAGAGCTAATTCATCCTCTGATGGGTACTGCTTCTGACAAGATGTCAATCATCAATATTATTGTTCCTTC